ATAGGGACGAAGACAGACTACACAGGAGTGGACAACTCACCGTTTTTAACTTGAGTAATAGCGTTCTGATCCACAGGATGAAAATTTCTCCATGAAATGGAGAAGAGGATTGAGGAACATCTGCTATCCTTGGCTCCTTTTGCCTGACTTAACTCCTTTTGGAGATCTGAAAAATTCTTCATGAGAGAATTTTCTAGCAATTTCTGCATGTCCTTTATAAGCATTATCTTGTCCTTTCTTGGTAGACAGATACTTCAAGGACGTCTCTGTGAGAATTGTTTGGTATCAGTAATAACTCGTTACTGGATTCCCGATTTCCCGAAAGTCATGATTCTTATTGACTGTACTGCAGCAGCTAGATTGATTTCAAAATAACAAAATGTCTTCTCGTTAATGCGAAGACTAACAACTATGAGTCAATTTAATCATTTTTAAAGGAGATGGTCCTCTACACAAACGTTTAAGCAACATTAAATCTGATGATAATTATGAGTGGTGTGATAGTAAATGGAGGTGGGCTGTGTTCTTCATTCACATTCTGTCATTTATTTATATATATAAACGTAAAGGCAGTAACAGAACACACAAAATACCCGGCTTTCTGGTCTTCGTCACTTCTAGTTTAAATAAAATACTTACGCTTGCCTATAGCCATCTCACCTCCATTTGATCAGCCCAGCTCTCAACACGTGTTGAGATGCTGAGTCATTACTGAAGCTGAGTACTCATGTACGTTGGACAGTTCAAGTTTCCATTGAGACGCTGGTCCGGATTTTTGAGGGTACCTTCAAATTATTTTTGTGCAAAAATGAAATCCATGCATGGTATTTTTCATAATATGCATTTATTTACTTTTGGGAAACACTGAATTAAGAATTTTTGCATCAGAATGTTTTACTTCCATTTTCCATTAACAAAACAGTGAAGTTATTGATCAGTCACACCTTCCATTACTACCAGCTTTCATACCATGATAATCTCTGATCTTAAAGTTTTTTGCATATATCTCAGAAGCAATCTCTAGGCTTAACTATAGGTTTGACTCATGCCCCTCCTTGTTTTGCTGGGGTGCCCTTTAATAATTTGTTTACAAAATGTTCAAGTGAATCATCTTGGTCTTTTTAAGATTTGAAAGGCAAGCAGGCAAGGAGGGAACGATCTCTCCCATCTGCTGGTTCACTCCCCAGAAGGTCTCAATGAAAGGGACAGGTCCAAAATGAAGTCAGGAGCTTGTCCCAGGTCACCCATGTGGGTTGCAGGGTCCCAAGCACTTGGGCAATCTTGTGCTGCTTTCCCCAGACCATTAGCAGGGAGTTGGATCTAAAGTGGAACAGCTGGGACACCAAATGGTACCTGTATGGAACCCTGGCATTGTAGGCGACATCTTTACTCACTATGCCACAACATAGGCCCCCATCCTGGCCCTTAGGCATCTACAAATGTGTATTTGAGTCTTTTATAAGTTTTAAGTATTTTTCCCCCAAAAATTGAAGATTTAATTGCATAGTATTTTGGTGACTACATGAGATACAAATTCCATGCCAATTTGATTGTCATGGGTCAGACAAGATTTTATTTTTTTCCCTCTGAGGAAGCTGTTGAATCCTTTGTTTAGATTTTGAAATTTCATACCAAGTTTCAGCCTCATGGTTGTTTCTTTTGCAGCAACATATTTTTGATAATATTTGTGATTTTATTGAGATTTAGGAATTGAGTTTAGGGTTTTATTATTCCCCTCTTCCATTTTCATTCTTAACTCGTAATTGATACGCAAATACACTTCTGGAGGCTATCTCAGGAAAACTAAGCTTTTCTGATTCACCCTTTTCCAGGTCTTGCTTCTGCTTACTGTGTTTAGCAGTGTGGTGTGGGGCTCAGCATGTGGCTGAAATGGGTTTTTCCTCCTAGTGGGCGAGCCCTCAGTCCCCCTGTAAGCTTGGGGTCTCTGGGCTACTTCGATAGCTGAACCATCTCCTTTGAGCTTCCACTTCACAGAACAGCATTTGTAGCCTCAGAAGTCCCCACTGTGGTATCTCACAAAATAGGTGGTCCCTGGACTTTTAGGCCATTCTCAGCATCTGTCTAGGGACAGAATATTCTTATCGGCTCACAGGTTGATGAGATCGCCTAATGATTAAAATTCTTTACCTTGTTTTGATGCCTATCTCGTGGATTTATAGACCCCACTCTTGGGATTTCTCAGATACCTTATTCGACCTTTAATGTTTCAGGTCTAGGTTGTTTCCTCTGCTCTTTGCTGTCAATCTTGTCTCATTTGCTTTCTACCCTCGTGGGTTTTCTAAGTTTTTTGAAATATGGATGACATTAGATCTTATTTCCATCTGATGTTACATGATCTCTTTTCATAGACTTGTTTCTTTCAATGATATTTTAGGATGGATAGGATGTAGATGTTTGGGCTCAGCTTAATATTCAAGAATTCCAAGAAAATTAGCTGCACGTGCGACAAGGCTTTCCTGCTGTGCTGACTCTTGATGCAGACCACAGCTGAGGGTTGGCCCCCAACAGTCACTAGAAGCTTGCTGCTCAGATCAAATACAGAGTTCAGTAGCTCTGAGAAACAGAAACGTCCATATTATATTCGATTTTACATTAGTCTAGGATCTAAAAATTCTTTAAAAGCTACATTTAAAAAAAAGCAGCGATAGAGGGGGAGACACATGTGTGCAGGGTGGGGGAGAGCAAGACAGAAGGTGAGAGGGAGGGGAGGAAGAAGGAAGGTGGAAGGAAGAAAAAGCATTAGAGAATTCTTCCACCTGCTGGTTCACAGCCAAATGGCCAAATATCTGGGATGGGAGCCTGGAACTCAATCTAGGTCTCCCACATAGGGCCATCTGCCACTACTTTCCTAGGTACGGGAGCAGGGAGCTGCACTGGGAGACTTGAACCAGTGCTTCCGCATGGCATGCCAGTGTCACAAGCAGTGGCTTAACCCACTGAGTGACAACACCAGACCCTGAAAACCTGGCAGTTCTATTCCTTCATATTCAGACTTATTAATTTATCCACAAACTGCCTGAATCTTAACATATTGCTAACTCTTTCTGGAGGTAAAAAATGATACCAAGTGACCTGACATTTTCTTTGCATAAAACTGGACACAACTATGATTTCAGGACACATTATCCTGGGGCCAGTGCTGTGGCATAGTGGGTAAAGCTGCCGACTGCATTGCCAGCATCCCATATGGTTGCCAGTTCAAGTCCTGGCTGCTCCACTTCCAATCCAGCTCTTTGCTATGGTCTGGGAGAGTCCTTGGGCCCCTGCATCCACGTGGCAGACCTGGAAGAAGCTCCTGGTTCCTGGCTTCTGATCGGCACAGCTCTGGCCATTGCAGCCACCTGGAGAGTAAGTAAACAAGTGGATGAGAGACCCCTCTCTCTGTCTCTGCCTCTCTGACTCTGCCTTTCAAATAAGTAAATCTTGAAAAAAAAAGACAAAAACACAAACACATTATTCTAAACTATTAGGTAAAGGGCCCTCATTGGCTGCCTTTGCAGAGCAACACATGTAACATTCTTCTCCATCATATTCCCCAGGGTTTTCTGGAGAACACAACCTCCACTCTTTTTCAAAGCACCTACTGGAGGGTACCTCAGGGTGTCTTAATGTTTGTAGTAGTAATACACTTTAGAAAAGATACTATGTATTTGTTGATAACTCACTGTCAGCCAGGGTTCTCGCGCTTTACCCATATTAGCAAAGTTATCTTGGCAACCTTCTCATCAGGAACAGATATTACCTACAGATGAAGACACTGAGACCCCAGAGCCTATACTTTAACCCAGGGGTTGGCAAACAGGCTTGTAGGCTAAATTTGATCAGCTGTCTCCCTTTGTTTTTGTGTTTACTACTCATGAGCAAAGAGCCTTTCTATTTAATGTACTGTATTTTAAATGATCATACAAGTTTAATATCCCCGATTTTGCCTTGGCCCCATATATTTTAAAACATTTACTATCTGACCCTTTAAAACTGAAGTCTAACCTGCAGACTATAATTCACACAAGCTTGAGTTATTAGTTACAACTGGTTGTAGCATAGATCACTGCCTGTGGGCCGAGACTTGCAGTTGAGCAGTGTGGCACTAGGATGCACCAATAGGTAGAGTGAAACCAGGCAGTTTGTGCAATTTTTATTGCTTTTTGTTCCTCTTTCTCACATAAAAAGAATTCCAAGTAGGTAAATATGTAGGTCTTTATTAACTGTTAGGATAGCTTGGTAGAATTTCTGCTTCTCATTTTTACTGCATTTTGAATACATGTGGTTTCTTAAGGAAACCGTGGAAGGATTGCATAGTCACAGGAAATCCAGAAATAAGTCAGGGACTCTGCTTCAGCATCTCGGTTGTTTTTAGAATCCATGCTAGCAACTGATCTGGTGGCAGGGAGGGCCTGGAGAAGGAGTCATATTCACGGAGCCCAATACCTGAACAGAGCTTCAAGTGTGGGCATTGCTTGAAGGTTGGGAGATTACTACCTCCCATTTTCCCAGATGGCCAGGAAACGACAGTGGGCATTGGTGAGTGTGCAACTATGGCAGAGAAATTGGCTTATTCTCATCTGTAACATGTATCAGATACTATTTTCATAGAATGAAAGGGACTATTTCATACTGGGCAGGCAGGACATCTACATGGTTAAACAAGATTGAAAGTTAAACAAAATTAAAGTTGTCAGAAATTTTCCTAGAGTCCATAACTTGTTAATACCTATTAGTTCATAAGTAGAGATTATGCAGTTTTCTGTTTGATAATGAGGTATTTTGGTTTTAATTAAATGATTTATGTTCTAGGCAACAAATTTGCAAAAACTAATGCTGAAAATTGCTCTTTTTTATTTTTTTAACTTTTATTTAATGAATATAAATTTCCAAAGTACAGCTTATGGATTACAATGGCTCCCCCCCCATAACGTCCCTCCCACCCACAACCCTCCCCTTTCTCACTCCCTCTCCCCTTCCATTCACATCAAGATTCATTTTTTTTTTTTATTTTTGACAGGCAGAGTGGACAGTGAGAGAGAGAGACAGAGAGAGAAAGGTCTTCCTTTGCCGTTGGTTCACCCTCCAATGGCCGCCGCTGCAGCCGGCGCACCGCGCTGATCCGATGGCAGGAGCCAGGATCCAGGTGCTTTTCCTGGTCTCCCATGGGGTGCAGGGCCCAAGCACCTGGGCCATCCTCCACTGCACTCCCTGGCCATAGCAGAGAGCTGGCCTGGAAGAGGGGCAACCGGGACAGAATCTGGCGCCCCGACCGGGACTAGAACCCGGTGTGCCGGCGCCGCAAGGTGGAGGATTAGTCTATTGAGCCACGGCGCCGGCCCAAGATTCATTTTTGATTCTCTTTATATACAGAAGATCAGTTTAGCATACATTAAGTAAAGATTTCAACAGTTTGCTCCCACACAGAAACATAAAGTGAAAAATACTGTTTGAGTACTAGTTATAGCATTAAATCTCAATGTACAGCACACTAAGGACAAAGATCCTACATGAGGAGTAAGTGCACAGTGACTCCTGTTGTTGACTTAACAAATTGACACTCTTGTTTATGGCATCAGTAATCACACGAGGCTCTTGTCATGAGCTGCCAAGGCTATGGAAGACTTTTGAGTTCACCAACTCTGATCATATTTACACAAGGCCATGGTCAAAGTGGAAGTTCTCTCCTCCCTTCAGAGAAAGCTACCTCCTTCCTTGATGACCCATTCTTTCCACTGGGATCTCACTCGTGGAGATCTTTCATTTAGGTTTTTTTTTTCCCCCAGAGTGTCTTGGCTTTCCATGCCTGAAATACTCTCATGGGCTTTTCAGCCGGATCTGCATGCCTTAAGGGCTGACTATGAGGCCAGAGTGCTGTTAGGATATTTGCCATTCTATGGGTCTGCTGTGTATCTCACTTCCCATGTTGGATCATTCTCTCCCTTTTTTATTCTATCAGCTAGTATTTGCAGACACTATTCTTGTTTATGTGATCCCTTTGGTTCTTAGTCCTATCATTATGATCAATTGGGAACAGAAATTGATCACCGGGACTAGTGAGATGGCATTGGTACATGCAACCTCGATGGGATTGAATTGGAATCCCCTGGTATGTTTCTAACTCTACCGTTTGAGGTAAGTCAGCTTGAGCATGTCCCGAATTGCACATCTCTTCCCTCTCTTATTCCCACTTTTATATTTAACAGCAATCACTTTTCAGTTAAGTTTTAGCACTTAAGAAGAATTGTGTATTGATTACCGTAGTCAACCAAAAGTATTAAGTAGAACAAACAAAAAAAAATACTAAGAGGGATAACATATTAAGCTGCTCATCAACAGTCAGGGTGAGGGCTGATCAAGTCACTGTTTCTCATAGTGTTCATTTCACTTTAACAGGTTTCCTTTTTGGTGCTCAGTTAGTTGTCACCTATCAAGGAGAACAAGTGGTATTTGTCCCTTTGGGATTGGCTTATTTCACTCAACATAATGTTTTCAAATTCCTAACAGGGATCAGTTTTCAGTTAAAATTTAAACACCTAAGAATAATTGTGTGTTAATTACAGAGTTCAACCAATGGTACTAGAACAAAGAAAAAATACTAAAATAGATAAAGTATTACATTGTACATCAACCATCAGGACAAGAGCTGATCAAGTCACTGTTTCTCATAGTGTCCATTTCACTTCAACAAGTTTCCCCTTTGGTGCTCAGTTAGTTGTCGCCAGTCAGGGAGAACATATGATATTTGTCCCTTTGGGATTGGCTTCAATTGCTCTTCACCCAGGAAGAATTTTGCTCAGTTAATCAATACCAGCTGATTAGAATCCAAGCATATCCATGTCAGGGAGCCATATTTATAAATCCCCATTCACCCTCTCATCCAATTTCAGTCAATGCAAACTACCAGCCTTCTGTGTGCATATGACACTGTAATATTCTTTACAACAAACATTCACTTATAACATTTTCAAGCTGATATATCTAATTGCTTTTCTTCTTAGTTTAACTATCTTGCAAGCACTGAAGGAGCTACCATGATCTAATGAGCCAGTTTTCTGTAAATCCCGTGTAAAATAGTGACAGTTAATTCCAACAAAGGTAGTGACATCCTGCTGTCTTAGAGTTCAGAGGGCTTCCAAAAGTCAGTATTTAGGTTAGGAAGTTTATAACACCTTGTAGGGAGATGTAAGACTTTTGGCATCTGACCGACTGTTCTACAACAGAGTATTAAAGAGCTCTTACTTCTGAAGTTCTATTTTACATTCTACTCAGGGATTGACTGAAATGGATTTGGGTGGTTCTCTTTTCAATAAGAAGTCTTGAGATAAGAGAAGTTACTGAACTCCGAGGATCAGTCTCACCTGCCCCGACAACCTTTGGCAATCTTATCTCCACCCTATGCGACAGAAATCAAGGTTCTTTGTTTACAGCACAGCTTTTTTTTTTAAAAAAGCAATTTCCTTGCACACCATTTCTCTTGAGGACAGGCAGCCTGACGCTATAAGCACATCTGTCAGTTCTTTGCAAGAGAATTGGAGAGTGGCCTTACTCATGTGGAAATGCAATAGCGACTTCTTGTCACTCCTTGACCTCCAGTGTGCTGTTCCGGGTCACACGGCTGCCATACGGAACAACCTGAAGAGATGCTGAACTGGGCCACTTTGCTCACTCTTGCAGATTTCCCGTTCTACCCAGTGCTGTTCTGCCAATGACTGGCTTTTAGCAAATGAAGTTGGTAAGCCCCGAGTGTTTTAGTCTGTCACTGATAAGTACAGGTTCTGGCATAATTCATGCAATACAACCCAATTAAAGAAAATTAAAGATTGGCAACATGGCCGTTATATTTCTCTTGTCTTCCCAAGTTTTTAGTTTACCATTATATTATGGTTTATACCTCAGTACATTTTTCACCTTCTTTTTAGTCAAGATACCAGGTTTCTGTATCAATTGCTGTTAACACAGCTCGTAAATATTGAAGTTACAATGCATGTTTAATTTTCGAGGTAAATTAAGTACATGAATGAAGCAGAGTATTTTTGAAAGAAGAAATCTTGAGTTGTAGGTTTAAGTAAATCTCAGGAATATAAAGTGACTGTCTATGGAAGGGTTCTATTATGATGCGAAAATCTACCTTTCTCAATTGTCATAAAAGTAAAATATATCCAGTACAAGTTCCAACATGAGAAGCAGATACACATTTTAGAAATATAATGGCAGATCTGCTATTCAGTGGTCTTTGCTTTAAAAGAAAATTCGCATTGTTTTTAAGTTGAATCTAGCCGAATTTCTCATTCATATCTTCAAATCAGGTGAGAAAAGAATAGAGCAAGTTAGTAATATGTAAAGCAATTACTACACTTTAAAGAGCTGGCCCTGGTTATAGATAATTTGTGGATAGGATTCACATTAGAAGTCTATCTAGTCCACTTTGTTGTACTATTATAAAGTAGCTTTTTTTTTTTTTTTTTTTTTTTTTTTGACAGGCAGAGTGGACAGTGAGAGAGAGAGACAGAGAGAAAGGTCTTCCTTTGCCTTTGGTTCACCCTCCAATGGCCGCCGCGGCCGGCGCACTGCGCTGATCTGATGGCAGGAGCCAGGTATTTATCCTGGTCTCCCATGGGGTGCAGGGCCCAAGTACTTGGGCCATCCTCCCCTGCACTCCCTGGCCACAGCAGAGAGCTGGCCTGGAAGAGGGGCAACCGGGACTAGAACCCGGTGTGCTGGCGCTACAAGGCGGAAGATTAGCCTAGTGAGCCACGGCGCCGGCCATAAAGTAGCTTTTAACATGTCTACTCATTCTCTTTCTACTTAGGGATTCTATTCAGATATAGTTTATTAGTTATACTTTATTATTGCATAAATTTAACCTAAATATCTTAATTTTTTTTTTTTGACAGGCAGAGTGGACAGTGAGAGAGAGAGACAGAGAGAAAGGTCTTCCTTTGCCGTTGGTTCACCCTCCAAGGGCTGCTGTGGTCAGCGCGCTGCAGCCGGCGCACCGTGCTGATCCGATGGCAGGAGCCAGGTACTTATCCTGGTTTCCCATGGGGTGCAGGGCCCAAGCACTTGGGCCATCCTCCAGTGCCTTCCCGGGCCACAGCAGAGAGCTGGCCTGGAAGAGGGGCAACTGGGACAGAATCCGGCGCCCCTACCGGGACTAGAACCCAGTGTGCCGGTGCTGCAAGGCGGAGGATTAGCCTAGTGAGCTGCGGCGCTGGCCTAAATATCTTAATTTTAATCTGCATTTATTAGATAAAAGAAAGATCTGCTCCAGGACTGATGGAAATAGATTGATGGTTTTCTTCATAGATGAAAATATAGGAAAGATGTTAAGCTGTGTCAAAGAACGGACTATCCATTCCTTCAGTTTTCTATTTTAATGTGGCAGTAGTACTGATTATGTATTACACAGATTATACATAGAGTATGTCAAAAGCATTTTCATAAGCACAGGAAAACATTGCATCAAAATAAGCTTATTTTGGGGATGCTGTTGTGGCATAGCTGCTCCTTGTGATGCCAGCATCCCATATAAGCACAGGGTGGAGTCCTGGCTGCTCCACTTCCGATCCAGCTCTCTGCTAATGCACTTGGGAAAGCAATGGAAAAATGCCCTAGTCCTTGGGCCCCTGCGACCCATGTGGAAGACCCAGAAGAAACTCCTAGCTTCGGCCTGGTCAGGCCCAGCCATTGCATCCATTTGGAGAGTGAGCCAACAGATGAAGATTTGTCTCTCCCTCTCTAACTCTGCCTTTCAAGTCTTTAAAAGCATATTTTCCAAGTTTTTAAAATTTTTGTTAATACAAAAATGATTTCATGTATTTCATGTTATCTTTAGTATTTTCCAAAATTTTTAAAATGTATCCAAGTACAGTCACTTAGCAAATATTTGTCATGTGATCATATGGCAATTTTAGGAAATTCAGAAGTGTTAGGAGAGTGAAATAGAAGGCAAGGAAATCTTTTGTGTGAAACATTACCTGGTTTTGGGGGAGATTAGACTTAATAAGGTGAAAGTTAAAGCCTTGGAGCCTTTCACAAGAGAAAAGCATATGAAGATTGTTCTATATTATTCCCTCTGCAAATAAATACACAATTTGACACAAGTTGAGGACTAGGGATAGTGTGATCTGATCCAGGTGGAGACTACTGAAGGGTCATGGAGATAAACTTTCTAGTGAAAAGAAAACCAGGGAAGGACAGCTTTTTCAGCAAGTGGAACTGCAGGAAGAGGAGGCTGATGAATTATGATGGAGGTTAACCCTGGCAAATTTTTATATGACCAGCACCTATGAGTTCTAAGATGTCAGATAAAATAGAGTTTACTCAATTAACACTGAGTTTCCAATAAATAAAAGTGCTTTTTAGATATGTCCTAGGGATTGTGTAGGACATACTTATGAATAATTTTTATTCCATTTTCCAATTTAAGTGGGCATCTTTGTTTTCAGTTGCTAATTTAAGAAACCTAGGTAAGGGCCATTGACGCTGCCTGCCGAGTCTAACAGGTTCTATGAAAGGATGAGAGGCTCTTGGAGGCTCTATACAAATGTCTGGAATCAAGTTAAGGTTGAACTTATCAGACATACACTTTGGGTCACATCGCCAAACCTGCCTGAAATTTGTGTTGTTAGCGTGAAGCAATGAAATGAACTCAATGGCAGTCATATCTGTACTACATTGAATACCAAAATGTTAAATATGTGGGGGCTTAGTTGTCTTTTTTTAATGCCCTCACCTTTACAAAAATAAAACAGGTTACTTTTCCAGGAGCCCAGATTTCTGCCTATTATATGACTATTTGTAGAATCTGCATGTATTGCTGCTTTGCTCAGTGCTTTCCCTGTACATTGCACTTTTATCTTCATAGACCACAGGAAATAGTGTACATTAAAGTGCTTTGCAAATTTTAGTATGCAAAAAGTAGGTAGAATGGTTGTTAATTACTTTAATTCAGAATTCTATTTCAGGAAGAAAAGAAATAGTACCAGAACTTCAAAAAAGATTAAGACTCTGGACTCTTGGATGCTCTTTTGGAAGCCACAACTGATCAATTTAAAGAGAAATTAAAAACCAAGTTACCATTTCTAGATCTGTTAAATCTGCTTCAGAGGAAGGCAGCCAAAGCTATTCGAGTAGGGTAAATATCCTGAGATATACACAAACCGGCCCTTTGCATTTCACTGTTGACAAGTCAGGCTGGATGTACAACTTGTAGATTGCTGTCTGACTTGCAGGAGACAGATTCTTTATTGCAAAGCAAGTCACATCCCTGCCAACATTTATAACTGCTCTGTCACTGTGGCAATGACAGGATGACACCTCCCGGATGCTTGGATTCCCTCCCTCAGTTTTAATAAATGGTCGAGGCAGGGGTGGGAGATTGAAAAGTAATATTACTTTCCCACAGACAGATAATGCTAAGGAAATGTTTAGATAAAGGAGAGGCTGATTGAGCACAGGAAGAGATAGCTAAGGGTAATGTATGAGATCCAAAGACAGAACATTTTGGAGATCCCTCCCTACAAGGGAGATATTTGAGCCTCTAGTTTTTTTTTTTTTTTTTTTTATCTGACAGGCAGAGTTAGACCATGAGAGAGGCAGAGAAAGGTCTTCCTTTTTTCGTTGGTTCACCCCCAAATGGCTGTTATGGTCAGCGCACTGTGCCAATCCAAAGCCAGGAGCTTCCTCCTGGTCTCCCATGCGGGTGCAGGGCCCAAGCACTTGGACCATCCTCCACTGCCTTCCCGGGCCACAGCAGAGAGCTGGACTGGAAGAGGAGCAACTGGGACAGAATCCGGCGCCCCAACCGGGACTAGAACCCCAGGTGCTGGCGCCTCAGGCAGAGGATCAGCCTAGTGAGCCGCGGCACTGGCCTCTTTAGTTTCTGTTCCTTTGCCATCATCATGGATTATATCCTCACCTTTCCCATAATTGACATTTTGGCTCAATTAAGAATTTGTAAACTCCTAATATTAAATTGAGAGGTTGAATTTGTCTAAGATTTCCTCTTCTGAAATGATTCAGTGGGAGTTGGGCTTATTTTTATCACTAAATGGCATATTCTCTATGTAAATGAAATTTTGCTTGAATAAATTATAGAAAAATATTTTAAGATATGTAAAGCTTTTAATCCAGCAAATTATCTTGAAAGCATTCTTTCCTCCTGTGTGCTTATTGTTTGCTCAAAATTATATGCCTTACGTAAATATCATGAATATACTCACTTAACAGTCCAAAAATTAGTTTCTCATAGGACGTGTTAAAACCTCAATTCTGTTGTTTTCTTGCCTATAACAAGCTATTTTTGTAGTCTCACAGAAGTCTATAATCTTGCTTTAATTTACATTGCCCTTTAGTGGTACTGACAACTCAAATCATCAAGTAGATTAAATACTGCTTTTTCCTTTAATAAAAGCAGAAGAAGGGCTTCAATTGTCAAGTTATATGCAGGTTTTCCCTTTTGTTAATAACCAAATCCAGTTGAGGGCGACTGAGTTCAAAAAGTTCATGGTCAGTATAGTAGTCTTGCAAGAAAAGAAAAAAGTTTGAAAACACACTTGGATAAAGAAATTTGATGTATATGCGCATATACTACTCCCCCAAACTCCACATCTCTAGTTTACTTCTGAAACATTTCCTCCTTGTCGATTTTGTCCCTGTAATCACCTATCTTGTGCTAGTCATTATACTTAGTAACATTTGAATTGCCTTAACTGTTTGACTTCTTAAATCAGTTTCAAGTCTGACAACTTTGGAGGCTGTTAGTAACTTTTGAGTTGGTAGGAAAGGCTTTTTTTTGAGTGTTCATGTTTTGACCAATTTACGAGAGCTCACAGGTTAAAGTTTAAGAAGGGTCACTGTGTACTTACTTCTCATGTGGGATCTGTCCTTAATGTGTTGTCCAATGTGAAGTAATGCTAAAACTAGTACTGAAACAGTATTTTACACTTTGTGTTTCTGTGTGGGTGCAAACTGATGAAATCTTTACTTAATATATACTGAATCGATCTTCTGTATATGAAGATAATTGAAAATGAATCTTGATGTGAATGGAATGGGAGAGGGAGAGGGAGATGGGAGGGGTGCGAGTGGGAGGGAAACTATGGGGGGGAAGCCATTGTAATCCATAAACTGTACTTTGGAAATTTATACTTAAATAAAAAAACAAGCAAATTGAAAAAAAAAAGGGGGGGGGGAGTGTAACTCATCTTTTAAATACAGTGTGAACCAGAATGCTGTTTTGGTGTTTTTCAGTTTGTTCCCCTCTTCTCCTTCCTCTCTGTATTTTGACCACATTTGTCACCTGAATCATTTTAAGTTCATCTTAATTTTCTGCCTATCAAGTATCTCCTTTAAAAAAAAAATCCTTCTCATGTCTCTGGATATGGTAAGGATGGATTTTCATATGATTCAGTCTAAGACTTGTAATACATTCCTCTGAGAATTTTTCAGAAGCAAAATATATTGCTTATAATCAAGATTTTTTTTAACTGAATCCCCCAGATAATTCCCAGGTTTCAGGGAGTACTGATTTGCATTTCTTTTTAAAGTTAACTTGAAAGAGAAAGGGAGAGAGAGAAGGGGAGAGAAATCCTTTCTGCTGGCTAAGGCCAAAGCTGGGAACTCAACCCAGGTTTCCCATATGGGTTACAGGAACTCAGCAATTTGGGCTGTTACCACTACCTCCCAGGGTCTGCATTAGCAGGAAGTTAGAATCAGAGGTTAGAGTCAGGGGACAAACCTAGGTTCTTTGATATGGAAGGTATACACCCTAACCAGTATGTTAGCCACTAGGCCAAACACCCACCAATTGTGTACTCTACAATCTTCAACAGAAGGGCTTCCTGAAAGCTGATGCAACTAGGACTATGTCAGTGTTTGAAACAGACATTGACCTGAAGAGAACATGCTCCCACAGACAGAAGATAGCCACTCTAGCACTAGCAATTATAGTTGCTGAACTGCAGAAGATGGCAGTGCTATTGTGGAAATTGTCTACTTTGTGGATAAAGAAACTAGGAATCAGTGTTATTTAATATAATCCCTTAGAAAAAAACCTCATTATATAATGATGACTAACACGATGTAAGAGGAGTTATTTTGGCACAATGAGGATATGTTTTTCCCTTGGAGTTTTGTAACAGTTTCCTAGCTATTAGATAACTATGTCAGCAAAGTTTCATTTGTACTTTCAAAAAATTCAAGACAGTTTAGTATTTTTCAACTGAGGATTGTGTTGCATTTGCCATGACCGAGAATCTAACATTAATTTTTGTAAATAGAAAATAAAATCTAAGACCTACAAATTTTGTCCTCAATGAAAGGGATTTCATCTGCATTTACTTAACTTCAAAAACACCCAGGTGGACTCCCCGGTGTCAACCTAGTTGCTCCCACTCTTTCACTCCTCCCTCACCACCCAAGTCTGTTCTCCCTCTGAGCTTTCTCTTGTACCTGCTGTATTCCCTGTATGACAACCGCCATGTTCAACAAAGCCCATCCTTCCCTTAGCTAGCAAGTGCAACAGGCTCATCACCATCTCCTCGTCTCCCATCATCCTCATCTCCCATTTACATCCCATAGTACAGCGGTCCTAAAATTCATTAAGCACAAAAGCAAGTAGTTCATTCTTCACACCAACGTTGCCATCTCCCTCTAGTCTTTGATCTTAAAGCTAAGCTCCTCAAGGTTGTATAGGGCTCAAGCAGGTTCCTTTAATTGCTCCTCACTTTAGTTCCACCTCTATTTCTTCCCTCATACTTTTAGATTTGAAATTGGAGGTTTTTTTTTTTTTTTTTTTTTTTTTTTTTTTTTTTTTTTTACAGGCAGAGTGGACAGTGAGAGAGAGAGAGACAGAGAGAAAGGTCTTCCTTTGCCGTTGGTTCACCCTCCAATGGCTGCTGCGACCAGTGCGCTGCAGCCGGCACACCGTGCTGATCCCATGGCAGGAGCCAGGTGCTTCTCCTGGTCTCCCATGGGGTGCAGGGCCCAAGCACTTGGGCCATCCTCCACTGCACTCCCGGGCCACAGCAGAGCTGGCCTGGAAGAGGGGCAACCGGGACAGAATCCGGCGCCCCTACCGGGACTAGAACCCGGTGTGCTGGCGCCGCAGGGCGGAGGATTAGCCTAGTGAGCCGGGGCGCCGGCCAGAGGGCTACTTTCACTTTCTAGATTCCATTCTGTTCCTGTGATTTTTTCCACAGGCAGCTCTTTTACTGAAACTGTCAGTGTTTTGGTTGCACACTAGCGTTAGTCTTGTTAATATCTGTTCTCCTTTTCAAAACCCTCCTCTGGCATTACCTCCTTTTGGAAGTTAGAGTACCCCATTGTCCCTCTGTGTTGAAACATTACATTTTGGTGAGAGAAAGCATATGCTCGAGTCAGTTCCAGCATCAAGTCCTAACCCCATCTTCTAGTAGATGTTACCCTGGGTAGGCTATTTTGTTTTCCTGTACCTTAACTGAGACCTCATATTTTGCTTTGCTCATTAGGTATTTATCAGAAGTATATACAATAACTAGTAACCTAAAGAGTGCTGGGGAAGGTTCCAGACTGTCTGGGTCTAGGTTCTTGCCTGGTCACTGAAGGAATTCAGGAAAGAGACATAGAGAAGTCAGTAGAGAAACAAGAATTACTTTAAGTGAAAAATCCCACCCTCGAAAGGAACTACCCTCAAGCTCTGAAGAGAAAGAGCTGAGCTTAATAGGCTTTAGGAACGCCCTTTTACAGGATCTGGGAGACACAGGGCATGGGGTCTGGGGAGAGGCTGTAATTGAATATTCAAAGAGGGCAGGACAGGGCTTTAGTGCTGCTCATTCCTTCACGCTTTATTGGAAATCTCTGCAGCATTAGGACATCAGGTGCATAATAAGAGTGGAGTTTGGCTATGGTAATTCTATCGTAATGATAATATAATAAACTAAAGATCCTTATGGGATGCAGCCAGCAGCTGTAGTAGATTTAGGTGGCACAGGTTCTTAAGCCCTGGCAGCTGTGGCCTCTGCCAAAGAGGGTGAGGTTGGGTTTCGATGGTGGACAGGCTGCAGCACAGTGCTGGTGATCCTCCGTTCCTCTTTGCTAGCTACTTTCCTGCCGACGTCAAGAGTTCTTTACATATAGTAAGGGATCAATAAATTATTATAACTACTAATCTGTGCAATTTATTATGTTTTAGACTGAAATATTATTTGCTTATATTCCAGTATCTCACACTAATATTTAATAAGGCCTTTTATTGAAAATATCAGATTTTATTCATCTTTGAATCTTCAAAAGTTGCTAACAAGGCAGGAATGCAGTAGACACTCAGTAATGTTTGTTGAGATTGAAGTGCTTTTAAAAATTATGATCTAAATATCAAGCAATATTCTGCTATGAAAAAGTACAAATTATGATTTAGTTATGACTCAGAGTTAAAACTGATTGGCTTAGATTTTAAGATGTACATTGTTTCAGCTACCATAAACATTATGTTTGTAAAAAACACAGTGTTCTGATAGGTTAGTAAACAAAGCAAGTAATTTCCACATTCTGTCGGCTAACACAGTGTGTGCTCCAATGAAATTCCAGCTGTTGAACACGCAGCCCGCATTGTGCCTCAGATGCCTGTTTCCCTGCAACCCTAATGCCAGCGCCACACCCCTGCTGTCATTGCTGCGCTGGATCCATTGCCCTGAAATTCCACAAATATGAACTTACGCGATTTGCCAATACCCTTTCAGATGATGTTGGCAGTGAGGTAGCCGGCAAAGAGGAGCTAAGGATTGCTGGCACCGATGAGGTTGCGCGATCAACACAGGCAGCCCCGTGTGCACTGCCGAAACCCCACCTCCTTCTGTGCAGACTACAGCTGCTGGGGTTTCACTGCTTAAAAACTAGCTCTGGCTAAGATTATCTAATACAGCTGCCATAGTTCATTACAAGGTCATTATAATAAAATTACCACAGCTGACACCCCAACTCCTATGATGCACAGGATGCCAAAACATTTCTGAGATTCCAAAAAAAGGGCAAGGAAATGGGTAGTGCTCAAGCCCTGCCCCAGACTCCACCCTCTGTGAATATTCAATCAAACTTCACACAAACACCATTCTCTGCCCTGAGATCACATAAAAGGATGGCCCTAACTCCGTTAATTTTGGCTGTCTCTCCTGAGCTTGTTTGTATTCACTCCTGAATATGTGCTTTCGCTTTAAATAAATCTTGTTTTTCTGCTGATGTATATCTATGCTGTGTCCTTGAATCTCTTCTCACACTGAGGCAAGAACTTGGATCCCAGAAGTACCAACCCTTTCAGTAGAACATCCACACCTCTCAAACTTCCAGGGCCCTGGTAATGACTACAGGGCCTAATTTTACAGAGCCCTTCTTTCAAACCAACAAATTTCAACTGTGTTTGAACTGAGCTTGGGAAGTGGCAGGAACTACATCCAGAATTCTGAATAACACAGTTTAAAATTATCTTTAGATGATTTGCAAGTTGAGCACAGTCTAGCCTACCAAATCCATGTAAACTGATAATTGAGAGCAGATTGTACATTTTGTCAGACTATTTTTAAAGAAGCACATAAAATCTGAAGGTTACAACTCTGGCTTCGGACAGACACAGCTCTGGCCATTGCGGCCAATTGGGGAGTGACCAAGCAGATGGAAGACCTCACTCTTTCTTTCTCCCTCCCTCTCTCCCTCTCTGTGTAACTCCGATTTTCAAAAAATGAATAAATCATTAAAAACATTCTAAGATTTTTTAAAAATAGCAATAGCAGTAATCTTAAAATTCTAACAATTCTATAAATGTCTATGCAGTTTTTCTTTAACTCCAAGGACACAATTAATGATGTGTACATAACTTCATTTTAAATTAGAAAAGTGCAAAACTGAAAAAGCAACTGAAAATTTTCTATTGGCTTGTGGCAAATTCCTGAATTTCCTGTTTTGGGGCCTTGCCCCAGGGAGATAGATATATGATTTGGGGTATAAAACTGTCCAATACATTAGATATAAGAGCATTGCGTAGACAGGTATTAAACTGATGGGAAATTTTGCAGACATAGTGGACTTTGTTTCATAATCAATTCTGCATATTCCTGGCTCTGTATTATGAAATTCCAATATGAATGTGAGAAACGATGTGTCAATTTAAAAAGAAAAAAGGACTGTTGACAGTAAGTAGAAGACAACATATGATATTGGGGGTGCACACACCACATGGCTGGTTAATCTTCAAGGCTCATTTCATGTCAGAAAACAGAGCCAAGTGAAAACAATCCTTTTCATATCCAGTCTGCCGCACAAAAGCTAACAATCCAGTTTAGTATTATCTCATTAAGCAAAGCTGTTTTCCTCTGATCAATCACCTTGTACTAAAAAAATAAAAAGAGTTTTCTTTTTTGAAATGTAAAATTGGTGAAATTCAAGAACACTGTTGGCATATATTCTGCCTATGCAGTCCCAGTTCTTCCTCAGCATCAGCTGTTTTCAGGGAAAACAGCAATTGACATTAATTAATACTAATTACCATCTTGCTTTTATGTTTATCTGGCCTTACCACTACATACTGTTTAAGTTAAACATGCTCTCAAGGACTAGAGAATCAGCTCAGCTCTAACCAGGATATTTTCCAAGCATGCTTTTCTCAGTGTAGGCAGGAAAAGGAAGAACAAATGGGCTGTGGTCATGTACAGGTGATGTACTTAGATCCCAGGTCAGATTATGAGCTTCTTTAAAGATTCAGTGTTTTGTCATGGTGTTTATAAGTGACAATGCATTCTACATGTATATAGTTATCGCAAATAGAGAACACAGAAGCTATCATTAGGACTATCTGTATGGCTCAAAATCACAGGTTTTTGTGTTAAAATCATCAAAGACTCTTCATTGCCCACTGAGTTAAGAATAGGATTTTCAATTTAGGGATTAGGGACTTCACAGATAATACAGTCCTATCCTCCCTCTCAAGTCTCCTCTTGTATTATTTCCCAGTCATACCATGGGATCCTGCTAACTCCAGTGATCAAGACTTCCAACCATGTTCTGGGCTGTTCAGTTTGTGTGCCATTCTTTACTCATGTTTTGCTCTTCCATTTCTAGTTTCTTTGACCTGCCCAACTTCTAACAAATAAAAGTTGCTTTACTTTACTACTCATATAGAATTTTCTACTTTTGTCAATAGCACTTACCTCATTCAGTCATGTGTACTTGTGTATGCCTAGTATCCAACATCTGACAAGTCATATTAAATGACATTTTCTAGCAGATTAAAGCTATTTTCTACCCTTTACTAGACGAGTTATGGATGTAAACTAACACATTTTCTGGGTTTTAGACAAGGAATATTTTCAAAATAGAAATACTTACATGGGATCAGAGACATATTTTCCTGGTACATACTTCAGTACATTCTCCTGGAACCTGCATATTTGAAATCTCTCTACATTTTTAAGGGGTATTCTGATGAACTTTAATATTTTATCTTGGTTTTCAGCGTATGCTGAATAAAGGACTACTAAATCAGATCTGATGATCTAACAATCATAAAGGGGACTGGGGACTAGGATGGTTGAATTTTGTCCCAGAAATTGATATTCAGTCTTACAAATGGACATTCCTATCTACATCAGTCTAAAACATGGCTTCTCCTCTCCTGTGACCCAGTCCTGGTCTAAGTTGAAACATTGTGAGACGTGTCATAGATGGGAAATTAATGGCAACTGAAATTTGTCACTTCACTAGCTTTAGAGGCAGGGGTAGGTGGGGAGAAAGGAAAGGGAGAAATCCTATGCACTGGGTTGTCCCCCAAATGGCCATGAATTGAAGCTGGAACTCAATTTAGACCTCCCAAATGGGTGGTAGGAACCTAAGTACTTGAGCCACCACCACTGCCTTCCAGAGTCTGCTTTAGCAGTAAGCAGGAGTCAGAAACTTGAGCTGGGAATCAAACCCTGTTACTCAGATATGAGACAAGGGCATCCTAAACAGACATCATAACCACTAGGCCAACTACTTGCCCATTTCATTCTTCTAGCATGGGTGTTTACTCCCTTTTCCCTAATATCCTTTCCACAAGATACAATCATCTATGTCTCTGTAAGAGCCTTCTTAATTTCAACTCTGTTCAATACCTCAATCTCAATTTTGCTTTTCGTAAGTAAATTTGATGTTATATTCTTGACAAAATCGTTAAATCAGAATTTTATGCCTCATGAAATTGGTCACTGGACTGATTTACATGAGTCGTTATAATAGGAGTTAAATCCATGGGTAGCTAAGGGTATGTGACACTAAACAGCAATGTGTGTTTGGGGGCACTGAGGGGTACATGTGTGTTGTGTGTTGTGTTGTGTGTGTGTATGTGACAAATATCCATATATATAATACCCTGGTAAAAAGTGTATGATTCACCTAATAGATTCTGTGGAGTGACTTCAATGGGTGAAAAGAATGAAGGTGCAGGAATTCACAAGTATGTCTTCAAGAGAGTCCTCAACATTGAAAACCTATGAGATCAGGATGGTGGTACAGTAAAATTGATGACACAACAGAAATTACAATCTTTTCCTTTCTTTTGCATTTACTGTAGACATTTCCTGAGAATTAAGTAACTGTTGTGTGGAAGTATGGAAAACTTGAAAACACATTTTATGTTCCTCAGGTATTTTTGCAATTTTATTACTGAACTTGGGCTATCCATCATGTAAATGTTTTTATGGTGCTAGAGCTTTATATGAATTAACTTATCAGCAAGATGTCTGAATAGCAATTAGTACATCCCCTCTCCCAGACAGAAAGTACTATCTATTGGGACCACTTGTTCCCACATGTCTGGTTTACTTATTTGAGTATTCAAACCATATTGATTTGAGAAAGAAATTACTCCAGAGAAAAGTGAGATGGTGAATCTGTATGAGATGGTTTCAAGCAGGGGAATAAGGAAGGTAATAGCCTTCTTTTTTCATTGGTATTTATTCAGAAAGTCATTTGAAATTTTATAGTCAACTTCTGCCATACCACCCTAAGCATAGAAGAAAGAGGAATCATGGGAGAGAGTGTTTCCTCACAGAGACACTGTTCATTCTTTTGGGAGTGCTAACTCTTAAAATGAGTTCTCACTTGTACAATTCAATAGCCTTCGGGAATTTTCCAACAATTTTCTAGATGGTGGTTTACATTTATCAGTGATTTCTATGGGAACCTGAAGGTGGGAAAGGCAAAAAATTAGACATACAATAGCTTTCTTCATTGTCAGACTAATCAATAACCTTAAGGACCACAGCTCCATGCTGCCTCCTCCTCCTCCTTCTTTTCTCTCCCTTTCTCTCTCTCCCTCTCACAAGCATATTTTAGATGAAAATTTAATAAAACCAAAATGAAAACCATGAGAGTTATAAAAGTTTGTCAGAGTAGAAATACATGTGTCATGGCACATGGAGGTAAAACGATAAAGGAGACACTGGATTACAAGATATGGAACCAGTTTCTGTGTGTCCAAGCACATCACAACAAATAAAGATTCATATATGTTTGGTGGCTTCTCCTCAATCAGGAGTTATTGGTGTTAAAAGATGACAGTACAGAAGTTAGGGGCAAATCAGCCTGTTGGCAGAGCCTCAGAGTATTGAAACACAGTAGTGAATTCCCTTCTGAGTTTTACTCTTCCAGAAATTTAGTTTTGCCAGAGCACAATGTATGGTCACATGTAGGGAGAGTGATATTTGCTAAACTATGTCAGAGAACAATCACATGTAACTGCCCCAACAAAAGGATTTACAAAAGGCAGTGAGCATTCCTTTTCATAAAATATTTTATAGTTCCTCTCCGGGGAAATTTCTGTATATATCAGGGTATTTGGGGGGCTATGTCAATAATTAGAAGTTGGTTGCATCACCAAAGTGATTTAAGAGCTATTTCATCTATTCCATGAAAAATAACAAAAGCTGATGAAAACCATTCTTGTATAGTTAACATCCCAAGTGACAGGCATTGAAGTGTGGCAGCTTCTGTTTCTTTCTTAGTCACTGCTGGATAAACAGTGATAGAATCTTACTTTCCACTCTCCTTTTGTTTAGGATTCTTTTTTTTTTTTTTTTTGACAGGTAGAGTTAGACAGTGAGAGAGAGAGAGAGAGAGAGAGAGAGAGAGAGAAAGGTCTCCCTTCCGTTGGTTCACTCCCCTAATGGCCACCACGGCTGGCGCTGTACCGATCCGAAGCCAGGAGCTTGGTGCTTCCTCCTGGTCTCCCATGCAGGTGCAGGGCCCAAGCACTTGGGCCATCCTCCACTGCCTTCCCGGGCCACAGCAGAGAGCTGGACTGGAAGAGGAGCAATCGAGACAGAATCCAATGCCCCAATCGGGACTAGAAGCCCGGGTGCCAGCGCCACAGGCAGAGGATTAATCTAGTGAGCCACTGCGCTGGCCAGTTTAGGATCCTTGAATGACTGTATATACACTTTTTTGGGTAATGCCAGTAGGATTATTTAGACGAGATATAAAAAACAGTGATGTTTTTCTGTTAGGGCACCCACACCCCATATTGGAGTTCTTGGGTTCAGTACTCAGCTCTTGATCCTGATCTCAGTTTCTTGGTAATAGACATCCTGGGAAACAGTGGTGTTGCCTTAAGTAACTGGGTGCCTACCACCCACATGGGAGACCTGAATTGAGTTGTTTACCCCAAACTCTGATGCTGGCCCTGTCCTGGCCATTGAGACAGTGGGTGGGAGTTCTCTCCTATCTGTTAATCAGTCTCTCAAATAAATTTTTAAAGTTAAAAGGAAAGAAAATCTGTTATTTGTTCTTCAACATTTCTTGTTTTGATGGCCTAAAATACAATGAGCCAGGAGATTGATTTTAAAAATTGTCTATATACTATGTGCAATGAAATTTTGCCCTGTGAAGGTTAACACAATTCAGTTTCTAATCCACAGCATAATGAACCACCTAACGTTCCCATTTAGAAAATAATTTTTTTCTGGTATTTATCACATGCTGTTTCTGCAGGGTGGGGCTGTAAAGCTATGATACATACAGTAAGAAAATGATCATTAGCTCCAAGAAACTTTGGGGTAAGTCCAGTTTCAGTATTCAATATGCCATAGGGCATGTTAAGTTGAAATCTTAATATTTATTGATTAACTTCTTCATATGCAGCTTGAACATTTTTAAGCATCACTTCGTACTCTATAGCAGTGTGTGCACTGCTTTAAAAGGTGAAATATACTGATCACACATGGCAGGTTCTTTGTTGGCTTGGAGCCCTAGTATCTTCTATTCTCTCCACTCAAGACCCTATTCTTCCATTCAACTATTGGTAAAGCAAATTCCTGGTCATTTTAAAAGTCTCACTTTATGCGTTGATCAGAGCTTTAAGTGGCTATCGCCAACTAAGCCAGTTCCCTATTATGTTTTTTTAGGATGTGCTGAGCTTACTCATCCATATGGGTTGCTTCACCTTCCTTTCCAGTGTGACATTATGGTGCCATCAGAATTTGAAATGGCCACGTTCCTAAACCAGGTACAAATGTTCTAATAAAATTTGCTGGGAGAAAACTTAAAATGGCAATTTCCCTTCCCCTTTGATATTCAAATGAGCGATATGCAGACTTAAGCTTTTTTTCTCTTCCTCTAATAAGATGGTCGGAAATGAGTCTGATTTTTTCCACTGCTGATTGTCTGAAACACTGGAATCTTTACTACTTAAAGTCTCCCTTTGTGTATCCATGAAATTAGCAATGTTTGCCCATGGATGAGGCAGTATCTTTATTGTCCATTAACTTTGATTTTCATCAGCATCTATTGCTATTTGGGGGATGTGAATTTCCCAAACCCCCAGTTGGGGTATAGGCCTGTGAGTTGTGAGTCTCTGAGAAGCTGGTTTTATTATGGTAAGCTGGGGAGCCTAGCAAACCTACAAGTCCACTTCCAGGGCCTCCACAATTCCTTCCTGTCCCTGTGAGGCAGTGCATTATATGTTGGCGTAAGGCCAGGAGTCCACAGCTGTGACTAATCAGCGGGTATGTTCCCTCAGGCTCTCCCAGAGTAACTGAGGTGGGTGGAAGTATGTATATTGGAAATTTCAGTGCATTTTATATGCTTCTCAGTGCTCTTTGGTTAAGGGAACAAGGATGAAGCATGGCAGAATATGCCACCCCAAATATGCCACTTTGGCATAAAGGTTTCTTTGAGCTAAATGCACTTGAAAATCATAGATAAAAGAAGGGCATTCTAATCTTTTTTTCCCCTGAAAACAGGAGACAAAACTCTCATGTAACAGTTGCCCTTCCAGTGCCAAGGAAAAGTAAACATTCTTTCTTAGATGAGAGAATTCTGTACAAATAGAACTTGTTAAAATAGTTCTTTAGTCTCCCACACAATTCAGTTACTTCTTCACAATAGGCTCTTTTTTTAAAATTTATTCTCATAAAGGCAGGTAGGATTTGACCTTTCGATCTTCTTTTCCTTATAAGGATTCTTGAGTCACACAAAATTTGTATTGCACATTTGTTTGCTTTTCTTTTATTATTAATTTGATGGATACTAGGCTATAGCTAGATAGGAGTAAGAAGTTTCTAGAGTTCTATCACACAGAGTGACTATAGATAATGTTAATATATTGTATATTTCTGTACAGAGAAAAACAAGATAGGATTTTGGATATTTTCTCTATAAAGAAATGTTTGTTTGATGAGATGAATATATTTACCCTGATTGGATATTATACAATGTGTACATGTACAAAAACATCACACAGTGTCCCATAAATATGTACAAGTTTTATATGTTAAAATAATAAAATTTAAAAAAGTAATTATTAGGCACAACCAAAAACCTTAAGAGAGCTGCAGTCCTACCCACCAAGAGCAAAGTGAGGAAGTTTATTTTTTCCCCCCTTTTCTAGAGAAACCTTATCCTTGGCTTAGTAGGGGTGGAGCAGATTTCAGTCTTTTTCTTGCTTTCAGGAAAGTTTTATTCATGAGTTTTCTATATTTTTGCAGTTGCTTCAAATGGTTGATTTTAAGGCCTTGTGGAGGTTTTGCTTATCTTGGCAAATCGAGCATCAGTGAGCATATACGAGGCTTGACAACAACTCAAAAATAGCAAGACCATGAATGTTTTAACTTTTTTCTAGGTGACATCTCTTAATAATGTAGCACATTTAGGAATATAGTTGCTAAGATTCTTACAATTGTGTTCAGAATCCAGTATTTCTGGAGAGTATAGAGAAAAGAAATCAAGCAGGTTTTTTTTTTTTTTTTTAGATGGTGATTTATCTATAGCTTTTAATGTAATTTTTAATCCTCAAGAAAATACTTTAGGACCATAGAATTATAGGAGTCCCGTAGAGGTTACAACTGGGCAAATTTATCTTCATTTGTTAAGTTATTTACATGTTTATAGCAATCCTGGCTCTGGGCTGCAGGCAGAGAATTCCTATTCAACCAAATGCTTTCTTTGCACAATCATTCTCAGCTTCCAAGTAAACAAAGTAAATTGCATACTCATTTCAAATTTGCTACTTAGTTCACTGTGTCTAGAGACATATTCATTTATAAATTTTTAAATCTATGGGTTATTTAAAATAAAGTTTGTTGATTCTTTTTAGGAATGTGAAAAAAAAAGTTGGGAGGTTGGGAAAGTAATAAACCATAAAAGATAGGATGGAGGTGGTACAGAAGGAAAAAAATAAATGAGACATTGTTCTCTGCAGTCAATTCATTTGTCTCAGAAGAAATAATCCCGAGGAAGTAAAAAAAAGTGTCTTCCTTTAGGCACATGAAAGGTGCCCTGATTTTATCTGATATTAAAAATCATGACAAGTGTTATAAGGCTGTCAGGACTCTGAGATAATATTGACTTTCATTTCAGGCAGTGCTCTGCCACCGCTGATTTTACATTTAGCACAGAGTCCATCTCTTCATTTCACCTTCAGAGTAGGTGAATTCAAGATTTATTGATCTGGTGTCAATCAAATGTACTTTATTTTCTGAATCTTTGCCTTACCTCTCCGTATCCTCTGGAAGAGAGAAGCCGCTTCACACTGAGGAACGTGTATCGCAGATTGGCGACTGAAGGAGGGGAGGTTTACCTGGGTGGGGTTTGGTTAGACAGTAAGTGCTGACACAGAGAGTTTTGGGTCATGGTGCTTCATCTGCGGGGCGAATAGGCAGAAAAAAGTTCTGCTGAAAACAGTGTATGGACCAGGAGGGGATAGAAGCGCAGGTTACAATGCTGGAAAAAAGGACAGAATTGCTTTCTTTGGAGAGAGATTATAATCTTGGCATTGCATAACACAACTGAGCACATTTATTGAACATAATTAGTAATCTACTTCATTGCTAGTAAAATAATGTTATCAAAATATGTATCAAATACAAAGTTAGAAAAATATAAACATTAAGTGACAAATATCATTCGAGTATAAATCACTGGCCACTCCATGACATCTGTGGACTCTGCTGTTTGCTGTGATTCCAGTCTTCACCAGCCCAGGACCCTTGAGATCAGTGGGAGCTGCACCTCCAGTTGGCCTCTCTCCTCTTGGTATTTCTTAGCCCTGATAGTGATGTCATTACTAGTGCCTGTGGGTAGCTTGTGTGCTCAGGCTGGAGGGTGTGTTTCAACGGTTTTGATTTCTTTCCTTGTCTCCCCAAATAGGTGCTATGTCCGTAGTCTCACCTCTTGTTTCCTGGCTCAGACAACTGCCTTCACAGGCTCCTCTAGGCAGACCCACCCCAGTTTTTTTCATGTGGTGATGAGGTAGAGTGGACGAGATAAGAAGGGCTGGCAGGGAAATGTCAGGAAGAGGGAAAGAGGAGGCTACTGGAGACAGAGGGCAGAACAGCTGAGTGTGCTGACCTTGAACACTTGTATGACAACCACAGGAGGACTGGTATTGAAGATTTTTAAAAGTAGCAAGGCAAAAATTAGTCGTTTTCAAACTTCTCTCCATGTTGAAGCTTTAAAAATACTGCAGCTGGGGCTGTTGCTGTGGCTCACTTGGTTAATCCTCTGCCTGCAGTGCCGGCATCACATATGGGCGCCAGGTTCTAGTCCCGGTTGCCCCTCATTCAGTCTAGCTCTCTGCTGTGGCCAGGGAGTGCAGTGGAGGATGGTCCAAGTGCTTGGGCCCTGCACCCCATGGGAGACCAGGAGGAAGCACCTGGCTCCTGGCTTCAGATCGGCGTAGCTCCGGCCCTAGTGGCCATTTGGGGAGTGAACCAATGGAAGGAAGATCTTTCTCTCTGTCTCTCTCTTTCACTGTCTAACTCTGCCTGTCCAAAAAAAAAAAAAAAAAATACTGAAGCTTGGGCCCTACTCCCCACCCCTCCAGAAATGTTGATTTGATCCATCTGGATTGCGGCTCTCTCTCATCATAAGTTTACAACTCTCAATTCCAATATGCTGCTAAGGTTGATAAATACAACTGTCAGTGAATAATGGGGTCTTGAAAACCAGAATGATATTCAGTAAATGGAAGATGCAGCTGTTACTTTTATTTTGATTAAAGGGAAAGAGGCTCATTCCATGTGCCAGGTACAGTGCTGAGTGGTTATATCATCTTTTTGCATTTTCATAGGAATACTGTGAAGTGGACAATCTCATTTAACAGGTGAAGAAAGTGAGGCTCAGGGGCCGGCGCCGCGGCTCACTAGGCTAATCCTCCGCCTTGCGGTGCCGGCACACCATGTTCTAGTCCCGGTCAGGGCGCCAGATTCTGTCCCGGTTGCCCCTCTTCCAGGCCAGCTCTCTGCTGTGACCAGGGAGTGCAGTGGGGGATGGTCCAAGTACTTGGGCCCTGCACCCCATGGGAGACCAGGATAAGTACTTGGAGGGTGAACCAACGGCAAAGGAAGACCTTTCTCTCTCTCTCACTGTCCACTCTGCCTGTCAAAAAAAAAAAAAAAAAAAAAGAGAAAGTGAGGCTCAGGGAGAAATACCTTGCCCAGGGTGACACTGTGTGTGGCGGTGGAGTTAGCAGCTGGGATTCAGTCAGGGCATCGGGATCTGATTTGTCTTTTTTTTTTTTTTCTTGCACTTTTCCTTTAAGACTCAGTTCTAATATGAAGCTTATGAATTTCTGGAGGACCTACACTTCTTAGAGCCAGAATAAGGAGAAACAAAATCTGGGGCAGGTGTTGTGGCACAGCTGGTTAAATTATGGCTTGGGATACTCACATCTCATGCCCGATTCCCTGGGGTTAGGTGCTGTATCTGCTTCTCATCTAGTTTCTTGCTAATACACCTGGGAGGAAGCAGATGATGGCTCAAGTCTTGGGTTGCTGTCATCTGGGGAGTGAACCAATGGATGGATGTTCTCTCCATCTCTCCCCCTTCTGTCAGTCTTGCAAGTCAATCAATCAATCAATCAATCAATCAAACAAGAACTGGAGATCTGTGAAATGACCGAAAAAAGGAAATCTTCATGTTCTAATTACTATAACCAGTAGGAATGATTAAAAATAATTCAGCATGTATTTTCATATAGACTATAAGTATTATTTTCATTTTAAATAGTTTATGTAAATTTTAAAATAAGTATAAAGAATATTTCATGAAATTCAAAGTTTGATGACATGAACAACGTTTTGTTATATGTGATCACACTTACCTGTTTCTGTATGTCCAAAACTGTATTCACACAACCACAACAGGGTTGAGTAATTGTAGCAGAGACTATATGCCCAGAAAAATCTGAAATATTTACTGTCTTACACTTTACAGAAAAACCTTGTTGACTGCTGTTCTCTATTAAAGATAGATTTCTGGATATACAAAACTTACACATAGTGTGGAGAATTCCTTATCATTATTAAAATATTTAATAATAGGGGCCAGCATAGTTGGTTAAGCCTCCACCTTCAGTGCCAGCATCCCATATGGATGTTGGTTTGAGTCCTGGCTGCTCCACTTCCCATCCAGCTCCCTGCTGATGGCCTGAGAAAGCAGAGGAGGATTCCCCAAATGCTTGGGACCCTGCACCCATCTGGGAGACCCAGAAGAAGCTCCTGATCAGCCCAGCTATAGCCGTTGCAGCCATTTGGGGAGTGAACAAGCAGACAAAGAACTTTCTCTCTGTCTCTCCCTCTCTTTGTAACTCTCTCAAATAAATAATTAAATTATATTATTACATATACTTTTTAAAGATTTATCAGGTATTTTTTAAAAAGAGATGGAGTTTAATATGCATTTAATGTTGGTTTAAAAATCATTAGGTGATTGGCTGGTGCCACAGCTCAATAGGCTAATCCTCCACCTGCGGTGCCTGCACACTGGGTTCTAGTCCCGGTCAGGGCGCCGGATTCTGTCCCGGTTGCCCCTTTTCCAGGCCAGCTCTCTGCTATGGCCTGGGAGTGTAGTTGAGGATGGCCCAATTCCTTGGGCCCTGCACCCGATGGGAGACCAGGAGAAGTACCTGCCTCCTGGCTTCGGATCAGCGCGATGCGCCAGCCGTAGCGTGCCAGCCGCAGTGGCCATTGGAGGGTGAACCAACGGCAAAGGAAGACCTTTCTCTCTCTCTCTCTCTCTCACTGTCCACTCTGCCTGTCAAAAAAAAAATCATTAGGTGACTGGGGATCAGTTCCTAGAGAAATGCAAAGCCAAAGAACCATGAACCATTATTCATAGAATATTAGAGGAAAGGTAAAACCTTAACAAATTATATCATTTATCAGGATTCATTGCAATGATTCTATTCATTTTTATATTGTGAAATAAGCAAATCACTGCACAATTCTTTCTGTCTTTACATTAAATGTGCTTTTAAAAATATGATTTATAGATCAATGTTTTCAGAAATGTACCAATTCAGTCTTTCTGTCTTTACTAACAACTTTTCCAGAGTGTCTTAACATGTGTTTCTTGGATCCCATGCATCAGAATCAGCTAGGATGCTTATTTCAAATGCAGATTCCATGATCCTATGCCAGACCTACTAATTCAGAATCTCTGAGGGTAAGAGACAAGATTCTGTCTTTCAATAAGCTCCCAGATGAATCTCATGCACATCGTAGCCTGAGAATCCCATACTACACTGTAGGTGAGAATATTCACAGTTACACCAGGAACAAAGATGCAGAGGATCAGGAAGCTGGTTGCAGAGAAGCTTGCAGAAAAATGAATCTATGTCAGGTTTCTGTATTCCCAGGGTGTAGATTGGAAGCAAATATGAAATCTATCTTGCTAATAGGAAGTGAATTCATCCAAGTGGGCAGAGAAGTAATAGAGTAAAGGTGAAGAATTTTGTTGAAAGAATGGAAGGTGAGAGGCAAAGCTGCTAGCCTTTTCTGCTTTATAATAATACAGTTGGTCCAAAGGCCTTCTATCTTCCTGGCGCTTCTTTTCCATTGTGGAAATGAAGTTTTATTATATTTGCTCCCCTAGATCTACTGTGTCTCCCACTACCTACCCTGTTCTCTATCTGCAGAAGTTGAACTCTATGGCCTGTATCAAGTGGCTGCCCTGTTCTAGTTTCTGATGGAGCAGTCATTGGGTGGTCCCAGCAGGATATCAAGGATGAGAGGAAAGTGGGGCTCCCTCTTGTGAAGCCAACTTGGGATGCCTGTGTCTTTGCTTCAATCAAGGTTATCCTTTCTATACATGTTCCACTGTCAGCTTCTAAACCCCTTTGTCATGTGTTTTTGAGTCTAAGGGTGGTAAATAGTTCTATGGTTGCTAAATGCAGGTTAGCTGCAAAATCCCTTGTGTTCCCCTACAATCTGCTCACATGGTTATAAACTGAAAACTATCCTTGAATTTTCCTAGTTTGACTGTGACATCTGTTTCCTGTTTGGACCCTACTGAAATAGCAACAAAATGTTATATGCAGGGATCCAAAAGGAGAGGAAGCATAATTTTCTTGGTGAGCGAAGTCTTAGCTTATGAGATACAAGTACCTTTTTACCTTGTGACTCTCACATATTCTATTCTCCCTAAGACCCTCTTCTCTTCACTGGTATGGATAATTTCTACTCATTTTTCAAATTCCTATATTAAATGTGAATTTCTCAAAGATGCTTTAAATGGATCCACCCAAATAAGGTAGTTCCCCATTATACCTTCTCATAATATACTTTATGTTCCTTCATTGTACTCATTCATATCACAAGTAAATTTTATTTTATCTTGGTATTTCTTATACCAAACTGTTATCTCTTTTTTTTTGTGTGTTCAACACTTGTTCTTTGCAGATGTTTATTCAATTTTTGTTGACTATGTGAACATATAAAATATAGTTATGCTAATCAATTTCATAAGTTTCCTTTTTCTCCAGGGAAAGCTTATGACATCTATGAACTGTGCATATACATCATACTATTTCAGTGCTTCTGCAAATCCACACCCTTTAATGTGCCTGATTACACCAATGTTCACATAGACCTGAAAGACTCAGGTGAATGTTAATTAATCTACTTGTCGCACAGAAGCTTGCTTATTTTAGGAGACATTTACCATAGGAGAGGATACAGAAAACTATCACATAAAAAATTGTCAATAATTAATAAGGTGACAGTAAATCATAACAGGAACAACTGTATAACTATAGACTAGTGTTGGGATGAACTTATTGAGTGGGCCCCTAAATTTTCTTAGCAAATGGGAAAAATGTTCACTCCAACCTCCCTTCCCCGAACCTTCGCTTCAGAATATTTTCCTTCAGAGACATTAGCAGATACCCACTTAAATTAAAAGGGAGAGTTCCTTCTCTCTCGATGTATGTCTCTTTCTGTTTGTAGCTGCCTTTCAAATAAATAAACTACAAATACAAAAATAATAAAAGACTTCTCCCTAGAGAATCAGAATGCTGGAAAATTTTAAGTGGTAAATTCGGGGTCTGTGCCATGGCGCAGTAGGTTGGACTGCTGCTTGCAGTACTTGGCATCCCATATGGGCACTCCACTTCCAATCCAGCTCCTTATGGCTCTCACAGACAGATCAGATCACTCTTACTCTATCTCCCACCCTTCCCTCTCCATCTCTGTAACTCTACCTTTCAAATAAATAAATAATTTTTTAGAGGTAAATTTGACAAAACTGCATTTTTCATTTGCTGCAAGATACTCTTTCTAGAAACATAGTAACAATTCCTAAATGAGTGGCCTGGATGAGAGGGAAAAAAAAATGACTCACTCCAAATTTTTGGAAATAGAGCAGTTGGCGAGAGCTGCTTTTGACTTTACTCCATTTCCCATTCCAATTCTGTGTAATATGGATTTTTTAATTAAAATTTTTTTTTGTTTGTTTGACAGGCAGAGTTAGACAGTGAGAAAGAGAGAGACAGAGAGAAAGGTCTTCCGTTTTCTGTTGATTCACCCCCCAAGTGGCCGCTACGGCCAGCGTGTTGAGGCCGGCGTGCTGTGCTGATCCGAAGCCAGGTGCCAGGTGCTTCCTCCTGGTCTCCCATGCGGGAGACCATGCACAACATCTGAATGTTGACTCCCTTGAACCTGGTTTTTCAGAGGACGTTCAAGGAAGCTGATCTTGCAACACTGTACTGGGAGGTGGGGGCGGAGGGAGCGGGCAGACCACTGCAAACAAGGAAAGCTGCAAGAAATCAGAATGGCCAGATTTTCAAATATACACTGTAGGAAGATGTGTGTTACTGGAGCAGGAAATGCCCTCCTGCCCCTCCCTTTCAATATCCGGAACACACCCTTAACCCTGGCAAACTGCTTCTCCAGGAGCCTTTCCTTGCCACAGGTTCATACAGCTTCCCACTGAGCAACTTGAGACTATTTGGTGACACCCCCAGTGCATAGACTCCTTGTATCCACGAATACCTTGCGACCACAGGCAAAATGCCCTGGTCTCAAGCCTCACCTGTTTCCCTTCTTGAAGGGCTGTATTCAGTGTAGTTTCCTCCACTGCTAAGAAATCAACTACCCTTCTCCAAGTCGTCAGAAACCCAGAGAAAATCTTTCAGCATTGCACCAAATGCCACTGTGAGGAAAATCAATCCGCATCTTCCTGCAGGTTAGTGGGCTGGTCTTCCTCTGTGAGTGACCTCGAGGACCAGATTCTCTGCCTAATTTACTAATACATGTCTTTCAAACCCCCTGTTAAAGACTTAATTCAAGCTGAATATTATACGTTCTGTTCAAAGATAATATTCTTAAGACAGGTAGCACATAGTTAATAATTTACATATCAATACACAATTTTCAGATGCATTTTGAAAGTAGATTTTTTCAAGGACTGTGTGGTAAGAAAGCATAGAGCTCTCGTTTGAAGCAACAGAGAAGCTAAAAGGGGACATGAGCTCTCAAGACCAATATCATCTACTGTTGTCTAGATTCATCCCTTATTTAAGTCTGAATTTCGACTAGCATTATTGCATTTGTCAAGTAAAATAACTTGAGATGAATTTTCTAAGATGTCGAAGCCAGTGAAGCAGTTACCTCATTATTAATGACGTTTCAATTATGTATATATTTAGACCTAACTTAAAGATGCATAACTTTTAGAGTTGTCATTATTCATATAATTTTATATATGTATGTGTGTATATATATAAAACACACACACACATATATATATATATTTGCTAAATGAGTTGAAACAGTGTATGAATTGAGTATTATCCAAGGCAGTAGAATTTCTAGACATCTCAGAACACAGCAATGGTATTATTACTTTGTACCATTACTTCTAGAAAACACAAACATGGAACATTCATCCTGCGCTTCAAAATTTATACCTCCATCTAGTGGTCACTGACACAAACAACATGTTTTTATAAACCATCAGATTCTATAGGCGTTGGGAGAAAACTGGAAAAAGTTCTTGGTCAACCAATACCCCATTGATTCAGTTATCTTTTGATACACAGTAGAAAGCACACTGAAAGGGTACACATGCAATCAACAAAGCAAAGCCAAGGAATCTACTGCATGCATGGTAGGGTAGGCCAAAATTATTCAGGACGAAATGAGCTGAGGATTCAAGCAGTATTAATATTGGGGAAATCTCATAAATCAACAGGATGGGTGATGTATTCTGAACACAGAGAAGAGTGCCAGTAGCTTACTCCCCTGGATCTTTCTGCTGAGAACATCACCTATTGGCCAGCCTTCTCGTGGCTTCCACAGTCAGTCTCCTCCATGAGGAAGAACGTTTCTTAGAGACATCACTCTGGGAAATAAAAGAACCCTAAGCTTCCTTAAGTATCTCATTTGAAATCCTAATAAGTGGGAGTTTCAATATATTAGATCTTAAATATCTTAAACTGACATGAGAACAAGGATAACTGCTTCCAGACTCTTGTTGCCAATGAGAAACTCTTAGGAGAGCAACTTTTTAAAAATGCATTAAGTCCCCTTTCACAAGTTTTCCCCAAGCCCTTTTCACCTGAATTCTTTCCAGGATAAAGCAGGACAATTTCCTGAGAGAGATAATCTTGGGTTACATCTCTAATATAAGAAAGGAAAACCTAGGTCCATTTTGTCATTTTTTAAAAATGTGATACAAGAAAAGATTGCTTAGATTTATCAGAAACGATAGAGCTTTCATTACACTATGGATGGGAAAAAGAGTATAACAAATCTGGCAGACAATAACATATATAGATTCACATAATTACAAAAAGTTTGGTTGTTGATTGTGTGTTGCCTCAGTGCTGTAAAAACCCAGGGGAGCCTAAGTTTGCTTTTCTCAGGACTTTGCCAGTACCTGTAGAGGACAATCTCTTCAAAAACTCATTCCCCCCAAAATGTATCCCAAATTCCAAGGACAACAAGGAACATTTTATTTCTTTTTATTTTCACCTTCTCAATTCTGGCTTATTCCTTACGTATCTTGATTCTTGACTTAAGCTTGCTTACCTAGTCACAATATAATAGTGAAACTGACTGTACTCCTATTATCTTTTAAATCGGGGTGGGAAATGTCCATCCTGTTGGCTGCAGAAGGCCTGGGAAATCATTTGGTCTGTCCTTTGCAAGGCAACTGCAGGTAAGAATCGAAATTCAGTAATCTTTAGCAGGCTAATTCTTAAGTTGCTAATTTTGTATGGCCCACAGCTGGTGCAATAAATATCCGAATGGCCCTTGGCAGAGAAAAGGTTCCCCACCCCTGTTTTAAATAATATTTTATGCATTCATCCATCCACTTATTCTGATTTGGCCTGTGGAATTCCTTCTTATTCAAATGGATTTTGGCTCTACTACATGACTTTGTTGTCTACTTATGCATTTATTTAACAAATGTTTATTCATCTTGTTGAGTAGAAATGTATCGTGTCTTGAATTAGGTGCTGGGGATATAATCATTATTGTGAATCAAATGGGAAGGATTTTGTAGACACTATTTCCTCAAATATATTTATGCCAAATGCTGAAGTTTTAACAACCTATGCCAGAATTCATGCTTATATTAATTACTTATTTTCTTCCTTTTATAGCTGAAAAGATTTCTGAAAGGGACTTCCCTCCCTGCAGGATTCTGCCTGCTATGGAGGCAACACCTCACCGGCAGGTCCTACCCACCCAAGTCCATCGTTGTGAGAGCAGATCACTCTGTCATAAAGAACACTCTTAGGCCTGAGGGGTAACTGAGAGGAGTTATTTGTGGCAGTCTGCAAAAGAGCTTGGGCACTTAGGTTGAGTGTCCATCTGAGAGGCTACTTATGGTGCTGGACAGAGCCTGGATAGGAACAGAAAATAGGCTGTATGCAGGCCACAGGCTGGGGGTGGCCAAACATTCCCAGTACTATCAAGCTGATGGGAGGATAGAACATACTTTGTTAGACTAGTATCCCTATGTTCAACAGTTAACTATTTGTACATGTAGACTCTCTTTATCTTCTTGTGCCCACCCATGCAAAAGTTGAAGACCATTCTGACAGCTCCTAACCAAGTACAGTGCCTGCTCTGCCCCCACACTGCTGAGTCTCACTGCTCCCCAGATGCTCAGTGGCTGCCTATATTACCATTCCTCCTAGGAGGCACCAGAGTCCTCCTGGTAAGAGGACACACATTGCTCTAGACTTGTCTTCAATGTTAGCTATCAGAAGTGAGCTTAAGCAGAACTGTATATACTCTGATATTTGGAAGAGACCAGGATTCAGATATAAGTCTAATAGACATAGTAGACAAATCTCCAAGACCAGATCAAAATTATGTAATGTGCCTAAAGTCATATAGAAATAAGTGACAGAACTGTGCTTAAACTCACATTTCTGATTTCAAATCTATGGCTCTGTATGTCATATTAGATTGTCTCTTGGTTTCATTTTATCAACATATAATCATTGCATCTTAAAATCATTTACTGATTGTTTTACTCACATCACTTAGCCTTGACATTAAGGACTGTAAACATCTGAGAGCTAAGTCAAATATCACCAGGGCATTATATCTCTAAGGTACATAAAATAATGCTGAAAAATAATAGATGCTAAAAATAAATTATTGGATAGCATACACTTTCTCTTTGGGATAATAATCTGCTAAATCAAAGACAAAAATGCTTCAGACCCAGAGAGACCTATACTTAAGTTCTTGTAACATTACTAAATATTTATATATTTATATTGGGCAAATTGCTCAATGGAAGACTCTTTTTTTCCTTCACCTGTAAAATGGGCATAGTAAAAAAATTTACCTAATGGGGTTATAATGATAATTGAATGATATAATATAGGTAAAGTGCTATAAACCTACTTCTCTTAATATACTATCCAGCATAATAACCATTGCTTTCTAGCCAAGTTTCATAAATCCAATGGCAAATAAAAAACATTTTGCCTAATAATTTTTGAGGATGGTACATGTGTGTTGAAACCATCTGTTCCCATTAACTGCATGGATATCTTGATGATGTTTACAGCTCTAATGGAACTTTTTCTTTGCTCATATTAGTGATAACAATTAAGTGGGTACCAAGGATATACTGCCGCAAGTCTTGTGGATTCTATGAAGAGTTCCAGCTAACTGAGCTGGAATGAACAGAACTATTGGCACAGCTTCCATGTAGTTCTACAGAAAACACCCTCAGCAACACTTGCTGGCATCATCTCAGCCCAGGGTCAGGCATTTTTTGTTCTTTAGTCTGTTCATTCCTAGCCTGCCCAAGATAAAAACATGCTTCTCTTTTATCTTAGAAATAGTTCCTGTACTCTTCTTTTTGAAAGAAAAATTACACAAACTTTAAAAAATAGTAAATGGCCCCATAGTGGGGCACCACCTCCTCAAAACTCTAGAAATTAAGACAGCTTAGCACTTCCAGGTATTGAAAAGAAAGCACTACTTACATGGTCTGGCATTCCTATTGTCATATAAATGTTATTTGTGAGTTCTATGAAGACAGCACTCCTGTCTTCTCTTTACTGGTATATAGCTCAGTGCCGAATACCTGCACAGGAAACTTCAGCAAGCAGGTCTTCCCTTGGTTCCCTTTCCATCATGCCTGCCTATGCTCACAAAAAGTAGAATCCTCTATTTTTGATACCGGGCCACAAATGGGCTACCTGCCAGCTGAATAAACCTATTTAAAGAATTGACTGCAGTTCAACATCTATCACTCAGCCCTAGCAACAGATAGTTTATTGTGCAAAATAAAAGACTTAGATATTCAGCTGACAGAGAAAGCAGAATCCTCTTTGTTGGTTGACAGAAATAAAATGAGTCTTGTCATAGATGTTGATAACACCTATTAATTGCCCCTGCTGGGGAACATAGGCACCCTGGTGTGATATGCTATAAATATTGATGTGATCACCCCAAACTGGCTGGATGCCCATGAAGCCATGAGAGGTATAGATAAAGGAATTTCACAGAGCTGTGTTCAGCCGCTCTGCACATTCCACTGTTACCCCCAACTTTGGAGTCTACTGTTTCCAAGTAAGAACTTCCTGTTCAGTCCTCAAAGACTGAAAAAATTCCTGGTGTTCTATGAATATGGTAGAGTCCTCTCCCACTTTTCAAACAGGACACCTAATCCTTTGATCTTTTACACATTCTATAGCTCTGACTGCCATATGCAGTTTTCCCCAGCTGGCTGCCTGGCTGGGAGAGTGAAAGGTTGCCTGGCACTGCCTGCTGGCATAGAAACGTCCAGGCCATTTCAGCTGCAGGGGCAGAATTTTATGCTGTGATGTGATTTTCAGTTCGCGGGACACTTTTCAGTAATCAAATTGACAACCTTTCTTAAAGTCACATGCTGATCAGAAAATTGTGTTTCTAAAGACTGAGCAACTGCTGATGCCTCCAATGGTAGATGCCAGTTACTTTGAGGCGGATTTATTGTCTCATTATTGCTTACTAATCTTGGCAAAGTGTAAGAAACAGCTTGAATTGTGACCAGACTGAAGGTTAAGATTTAATCATTGAATATATTACTTATTCAGACCTTAATACTATTTATACAATAAAATATATTTTCTCATCCAAGAAATAATTATTAAATATCCATTATGTGTCAGGCACTGTTCTACAAGAATATGGATGCAAGGATGAGTAAATGAAGCAGACAGACAAGGTCCCTGCTTTTATATTATAAAAATAGGACTTCCAAATAAACATATCAGAGAAATATAATAAAGACTATTCAGAACCTTGCTACAAAATATGAGAATGGGTGATTACTGTCGACTGGGGTCATGAATAGCCTCAACTATAATTTTAAAAACTTAACAGCAGATTACAGGTATAAATTATTCCAGGCTGTATGAATAGCTCACTCAAAAGTTTTAATTTAGATATGTTTGACATTTTTGAGGAAGAGACAGAAGCCACATTTGATTAATACTTCTGACTGCTTGCCAAAATGAAAGACAGGAGGCAAAGCTCATTGAGGATATGTGGAAGGAAAAAGAGGGAATAAAAACAACAACACAACAACTGGATGGAAGCAATTCTTGAAGGATATTCCACAGTGTATAAATTTAACTCCTTTCAACAAAGGTCTGGACCAACCAGAAAAAAAAAAGACAGATGATGAGATCAGGATATTGTTAGTAAGGGAGACATAATGAGTCTTTTATAGAGATTCCATCTCAGAAGGCTTTGTGGACAACAATTCATCTGTCTTAGGAAGCAACGACAGTTGCTGTCATTTGTATTTGTTTTTTGTGCTTGGCACAGAAATTAATCAATGTTGGGTGATCCAATTTTATAGATAACACTGGTGAGTAAGCAAATGTATCAAATCTAACGCCTCACTTCAGCTTTTAAAAGCTAGACTAGCTGGGAAATCATGTAGCTTGTCTTGTCCTAATTGAAGCCATTTCTGACAATCTGAAGCACTTGGAGAGGCAGGGGTACCAAACAAAGAGACACATGGCTCAGAATACCACTGAAAATTGCTCTAGACCTATGTTTTTTAATATTTGACAATGAACACATTATGAGAAATGCTGATGAATTGTAGAGACTAAATTTATTTCCTGTTGTTCTAAATATGTTTATCTCAGAAGAACTAAAAATGATAAGGGAGAGTAGAACATGCTTCAGATTATTATCTCAGGGAAACAGGTTCACAAACAGAGCACACTGACTAAATTTGCCTGACTTAATTTACATAGGGGAGATTTTATTCAAAGTAATTTGAGGAGTTTAGTTGTGTTTTTCTGAAGGTACTCTCACATTTTGTCAAAATTTCTGCAGAGAGCATGGCCATCAATTTGCAGGAGGTAATTTTTAGAAATTGTTTATGAAATGCAACTAGATTTTAGTAGCTCAGGAAATTTTCTGTATACAAGATTTGATAATGACTGATTAAAAAAGTTCTTACATTTAAATGACAATTGACAGTTAAAAAGACAGGTTGGATCTTCAGAAGCTTAAAGTTAAAAAGATCAAATAATTCTGACTGAAAACCATATTAAAGAGCTTGGCTAATGTGAGAAATATATTATAGAGTCTGATCACAGGCTTTATGGTGAAATTGGATTTCATAGATATAACAGAATTGTACAAAGCAATCTATTCAATACGGGAAGACCTGACAATACTTAAGAGATTTCATCTGGAGAGTTTCACAATATTGGGTATTTCAGTTTATTCTAAGTGACAGATGACTGATAACAAGCTAAATATTTGATATTAAGAAGTTCTTTATTGAGATTAAAATATTAAATAATTTTAAAACTCCCTCAAGAACTTTGGTGAAACCATAGGCTTTGGTTTAATCCTGTACTTTGCAGTGCTATTTCTGGTCTGGTTGGGTGAGGCAGTAAATATCTGTATTTCCAGACTCTGATGAATTTTGATTGAAAAGAAAAGAACAGGCATTTTGATACTTATTATGTCTCTTTTTCTTGGACCTTTTGACCTTTCGAAAACAGAGCTGTCAATTGTGTTAAATTTTTTATTAAATACTTTCTAGCCCAAGGGCCCATGCTTGAAGAAACATAAAGAATAAGACAAGGTCCCTGCCCTCAAGTTGTTCAATTAAGTGAAAGTGAAATCCTTTTGTGTTTTATTGGTGATCACACCCAGGAATTTTTGCACCACCTTAATTTTAACATAACCCAGACTGAATTTAATATTTTTCTCTATAATTTTCACCTAGGTTAATTTCAGTGATGAGCCACCTTCCAAGCCTGAAAAACAAGTTACCCTTGAAGCTTCTTATCTACCCTTTACTGTCACAGTCTCTTGAATATGTCTTAAGTCTGCATTTTTATTCTCATGACGAAGGTCATAATTCTTATTTCTGAATTAGTACAATAGTTCCCTAAAACAACTTCTGTGCCATATACATAAATATAAAATTATCAACTGTTTTCTTGAAAGAATTCTCTGTATACTGAGGATATATTTCTTTATTTTTTACTGTTTGAAAAATGTTTACTTTTGGTGAAAATTCAAAATGAATATAGACAGTAAATATTATAATTTATTGAATTTTTATCATATCTCATGTGATTTTGCATGCGCTTTTTGTGTGCTTATTTTGCTATCTTAATAATTACCCTTAGAATCAAGCAACTTAGCTTCAGCCAATCATAGGTTGTCAGCTCTTCAGATCATTTTAATATTTATTCCCATCTAATCCAATGCCAGCTGAGGCCAATCAGGTCATTTCTACATGCCATTTCCTTTTCTCTGGCTATAAATATAAACTATAAAGGTGATGGTTGGTGGCCATTCTGAGCTATCTTCAGCCTGAGTGCTGCCTAGTGCTAGAACCTCTTTTCTTGCTCAAGTAAACATTAAATTTAAGTAATCTCAGTTTTTCTTTTAACAACATCCTTTTTGGGAATTCATCTTAGAAGATAATATTTAAAATAATCCCTCAAAGGAGATATGTTAATGGGGTATGCTCTAAGGGGTTTCTTGGAATTACTGACTTTTAAAATTAAAGTATTATTTAATTTAAATGATATGTTTTGTAATAGAGAGGTCATATTAGCCACATGGTAAGTCAAATGTGGATAATGAAAAGTTAAAAATCATTGATCTGTGGAGTACCTGTTTCATGAATAGCAGATCAGGAAGTAGCTCAGTACCTTAATTTCCTTTTTCTAAGTAATTGCTTGGCCTCACATGCCATTAAATCCCTGAAAAAGGAAATTTGAATTCTAATATTAAAGGACAGAAATAAAGAATAATAATGAGATATAGATAAAAGTTTTAGCAAAAATGTACTACATATACTTCCAAATTTTATGCTTTATAAGGATTGTACTCCATATATGGCTTACACTGGATGATTTTAATTATATAGAATGGATCCTGAGGTTAAATGTGAAACTGTGGAAATAGCACAGCATAATTAGTCATTAGCATTAATTGAGCTCTCACTCTGTGAGGCACATGGTACAAAAGGAATGGAAAGTCAGATGCAGGCTTCCTTGAACACTAATCATCTACCAGGGAGAGAGAAATCTTGAAAAAGAGTACCAAATCCCAAATTTCAATGCTTAGACATCAAAAGGGCTGATGTCATTAGACCCTATATTTGCATAACACTTTGAAATATATATCTGTTCTCGTGTATGGTATCTCTTAAAATCTCTTCAGATACTATTCTGTGAAACTGCAGAGTGTTGTGAAATAGTATGGCGTGTGGTTTCAGAAAAAGCTGGTTCTGACTCCTACTCTGTCTGTAATGTTGTGTTTTATCTAACACCACTGTGCCTTAGTTACCTTGCTTATATAATGAGGACAATAATTGTGATTTTAGGGCTGCCTTGAGAGTTAAAGGAAATGATGTATGATGCTCTTTTTAGAGTGATGACCACATAGTATTTATCCAATAAATATGTTCTTCCCATATAATCTTCATCTGCAG